CAATATTAGTTACTGAATTTTAGTATTTTAAAAATGTTTAAATTTACGAAGCTGTTGATAATACGGAATCAGAAGAATCTCCGGATCCTTATCCTTCCATGACGATCTTTGGCATTGCCATTTTTCGGAGGAAAAGAGAATGCATTTATCAATTGTAAATTTTTGCAGTGTGATAATTACCATCTAAAAACTAAAAAAATTACATGCCATGATCTGAAATCTTTCTTTGTTGGCAAAGTAGTAATCAACTCGGCTAACTTGTTGCAAGTCTTTGTCATCTTTTGAAAAGCTTTTTTTTTTTTGCTTGCGCACCTGAGAAAAAAAAAATGAATGTAAGCAAATCCGACATCTTGCAGTTTCATCAGAACACTTTAATAGGCAAGCGCAAACCAACCAAGGTAATGGCTTTGTTCTCTAGATCTTTCATTTTTTGTTGTCTTTGTTCCTATCGTCTCAATCTTAAAACCATTTTCTGTTGTCTTTGTTTTGGATTTTTTTTTCAGGAGAGTTCTCTTCCAATAGAGAAGAGTAAGAACTTTTACAACCTATACTCCACATATTTAGATAGTTCAATCTCATATCTTCTGTTCTAATCTCTTTTTTTTTCTTGCTCTCATTTAGGTAAGAAGCTCAAACTTGACGAATTTGAGGTTAGATGACCGTTTTTGACTTTTTCCTTTACTCCGTATGCTATGTTGTTTCATTCGTAACAAATACTTGTTTTGTCTTGTTGATTTCTTCAGTAATCATAGTAATCATTTTCTTGTGATTCATTTTCTTACATTAATTTTTATAAGTAATTATCATACTGACTTTAATTAGGATTACTAGGAAAATGTATCCTTTTAAGTTTTACTCTCATTTGTTACTTTATAATTGAATCTGACTTGGATATTCAGACTGAGAAAGATCATGCTTGGTCTTCGGAATATAAATCTTCCAAGGATGGTATAAATGGTAAGAATTTGTAAAAACAACATTTCTATGTACTTGTCATTCCTTTGTTCTTTTTGAGGTCGATTGTCATATCTTCATTTCTAATCTTTTATGTTTTCTATTTCTATTAGGTAAGGAGCAAAAGAAAGACAGATTTGAGGTTAAGTTCACCTTATTTTGACTTTTGCACAGTTGTTGTGCAAACCACACCTAGTAGATTGAAATTTACAAGTATCTTATGCATTTTTTCCTCAGGTTAAGGATGCATCTGCTTCGAAATCATAACGAAGTGATAAAGATCTAAAGAAAAATGTCAGTATTGACAATGTAATCTACTCTTTATCTTATCAGCTTTTTATAATCGTATTTACTTCTCCTTTTTTTAAAGCTTGGGACAAATTCAGAAACTAAAAAAACATAAGTTATCAAATTATCAATACTAGTC